ACCTTTGTCACCCCCAAAAACAAGATTCAAGTCACCCCCACAATAGCCTGCCTAGATACGTAACTTCACGACGGCCAGTTTATATCCATTTGTTCTCGTGTCCACATTAGTACTGAGCTGAAATAATTCCTCTCCCTCTCTGGTATTTATCCCTCTGATATATTTAAAGAGAGCAATCATATCCCCCCTCAGCCTTCTTTTGGTTAAGGTAAACAAACCGAGCTCCTCGAGTCTCCTTTCATACGACAGGTTTTCCATTCCTCGGATCATCCTAGTGGCCCTTCTCTGTACCCGTTCCAGTTTGAATTCATCCTTTTTAAACATGGGAGACCAGAACTGCACACAGTAGTCCAAATGAGGTCTCACCAGTGCCTTGTATAACAGAACCAGCACCTCCTTATCCCTACTAGAAATACCTTGCCTAATGCATCCCAAGACCGCATTAGCTTTTTTCACGTCCACGTCACATTGCTGACTCATAGTCATCCTGCGATCAACCAGGACTCCGAGGTCCTTCTCCTCTTCCTTTACTTCCAACCAATGCGTCCCCAGCTTATAACTAAAATTCTTGTTAGTCATCCCTAAATGCATAACCATCGTGCCAAGTGTGATGACCCCGTTTATTCCTGGCAGCCCTCGCACAGCGTCCTTTGTTATTCCGCAGAGTGTGAGTGTTTGTGGGCTGGAGCCGGAAGGGTCTGGTGCTGGGCGCTGACAGCCCCTGATTCTGAGCGTGTGGCACACGCACCTCACCCAACACCCAGGGCTGGTGCACACCAGCACTCACAGCCACTCCCTGCAGTGGGGTCGGCTCCCACAGATTAACATTGCCCCCTAGTGGCCAGCGTCACACTTACCAGAATCATGTCCCTGGCTCTCCAGGGCTGTAGGTAACGTCGCTAGCCAGTCCCTTCCAGCTTTCACCCTCTTCCTTTAAGGATGTCCTTCTCCACACTAACCAGGCTGATCAGACCCCTTAGAGACAGCTACGGAGAGACCCAATAATTGTTTTGTTTTCCGGTAGCAAGGAAAAATGAAGCTCATCTAGGGGGTGCGGGGCTCCCAAACTGCTGTCTCTGCTCAGACTGTTACCGTTCAGAGCACTCCCATCGGACACAGCCCCAAACCAGCCAGGGTTTCTTGCAGCCATAAACATTGTGGGTCAGGGTCATGACAAGAAACCCAGCTAGCTTTGCAATGCTGAGTGTCATAGAAAAAAGGGGAATAAATGATCCCCCGTGTCAACGGGCAGTTTGTGTCTCACTTCCCCATCTGGCTGTGTCACTGTGAGGGTGAGTAGTGTTACTACTATCTTTGAACCCACTCTGACAGTGATAATCAGCTTCGTCCTGCGCCTGAACTCCAGTGATGGTTAATGTGGCTGTTTTACCGGAGCTGGCCCCAGAGAATCGCTCAGGGATTCCGGAGGGTCTCTCACTATCCTTATATATAACGAGTA